TTTGATGAATTTTTGAGATGCAAACTGTGATCCTGGGAGTATTGCAGGATTGCACTGCCAAGATTTGGGGGTAAAATAACCAGGCTTTGACCACACATTTTATTTGGATTTTTTTTAAAAAAGGGTTATCAGGCACCCAGAACTGGTCCAGAGTAAAACCAGCAAGTAAGTGGAAGGCAAGTCCATAACAATAATCTTGCCCTTGTTTCCATTCTGATTTGTTCGTACGATAAATGATTGAATGGAAATCCAGTAGTCACTGATTTGGTCCTGTGGGTTTGGCACACTAGGCTTTTATTTGTGAAAAAACACATAAAGTAACATGGACATCCTCCAAATAGGTGGACTCCAACTCCCAGAATTCTCAGGAATGCCTATGCTGGCTGGGGAATTCTGGGGATTGAAGTCTTGGTTTCAGAGGGCACCCAAGTTGGAGAAAATCTGATATAAAGTAATATCTAATTAATTAGAGCTTTATTTTTTTCTGGCTCCCTCCTTTGTTTTTAACTGTTGCAGTCTCCCTAGCAGTGTGGCCACTAACATGCCAAATCAGCTTTTGATAAAGTTGGACACCCATGCCATGCACTTCCCAGAATCCTGTAGAAGTTTAATTTACAAGCCCGCAGAAATGTGAGCAAGCAGAAAGACAGTCTTGCAAGAGTAGGTGGTGATAGTAGAACTGTCATGTCAGGATCAACAACCATAAAATAAGAAGACTGTTTGTCTTGAAAATATTAACAACAACAACTAACCTCAGGAAAGAAGAACCACTTGGATACCTGGAATGAACTTTATTGCCGGCAGGGTAATGTGACAGAACGTTGAAAACCTGCCGAAGCAATTTTCCAGCTCATCTTATACCTAGCATAGTTAAGGCAGAGTTACTCTGAGTCTCCTTACATTTGCTCCTCCCCTGGACTTGAGAATCTTTTCACTGAACGCCCTGCTTCCTCCTGCAATGGTCATGCTCCATCCTCTGTGTTCCCAGGGTCTGTATCTTCCATGGTGGGAAGTTGTCAGTCTTACTAGGTAGACTAGACAGAAAATATGACCAGGTGAGCTAATTCTACTTTTATTGTAAAGCTACATTAAAAGAAGTCTGAAAGTACAATCCTCCCCCCCATCTCCTTTACAGCCCAAGAAACTAGGGAGGGTCTCTTCTGAGCCTCTTGCCCTACCCACTATCCAGCTGTGGGCTATGCTGCCTCTTATCTGACCATTCCTGTGGCAGTGTTTCTTGGCCCAGTCTCCCAAGGTCTTTCCCACATATCACTACAGAACCTATGAAGTTTGCAATATATGTGTTGTCCTTGTTTTTTTTTTTTTTTTTACTAGATGCCTCAGTGTAGATCTCCTGGAACCAGGGACAAAACATCTATTGGGTAGATGTGAGAGATATTTGTAGAAGTACCCTACCAAGGACTCAGCCACAGAATTGATATTCAGTAGTAGAAATCAGCTTGAGGTTCAAATCCTTTTTGGTTTCCTTCCTCCCACTCTCATCCATCTGATGTTGTTTATTCCTCAAGCCCTATTTTGGGGGTGGGGAGTCGGGGAAATCTTTATATTAATGCCATTATTTAATGACGGGTAGTTGGAAATCTTTGGTCATCTGTTGTAAAGGTGAGCAGCCCAAGGATAATGTGCAATCCCCAACTATTTCCTCCCCACCACTGTGCTTATGCTACTGAATTTTAACTAACATTAAATAATGGCAGTGTGAGTTTCCATTTGTGTGTGAAGAAAAGTATTAAGTGCCTGATAATACTCCTTGTTTGTTTGTTTATTTGTTTGTTTTTCAAAAAGCCCTCCCAAATGGGAAGAAGGGTCTAAAGTTCTAGTTCCATCCCTTGGGTGACTTCATTGTGTCATGGATCTACATTCTTTGGTTCAACTGCTGGAAAGCTGTGTGTGTGTGTGTGTGTGTGTGTGTGTGTACACGGCCCCAGTGGCCAAAGATGGCCTGGTTGCTTTTGGTCTGCTGCAGTTGATCAATAGTTTCTGATTACCTTCTACTAATACCCGCTGCACAGTTGTGTAGGAGTCTGGTTAGAAAAGTCCTAACAACCAGGATGTGGTTGGAGAAGTGGGGTGAGAGAGCTCACATTCTCCTTTAGAACTATAGCGTCATTTAGGAATGTGCAGAAATCAGGCCTGAAAGACCCCAGTGCTCTGACGTCACACGGAGAATTAGGGAACCAGCAAGCTCTGAAGAAGTTGTGACCAACAGTCTGTATTCCCATATTTCTGGCCAAGGGGAGACCAAAATGCTGTATGAGAACTAGACGTCAGAGCAAATCACTGCCCTATCAAAAGATTCACCCCCAACCGAAGAGTGGGGCCTGGGAGAGGCCTTGAGGGTCTGCACCATTAAATAGGCCTCACTTCTGCTCTGAAGTGATTGCTGCTCACTAGTCTGTATTCCCATATTTCTGGCCAAGGGGAGACCAAAATGCTGTATGAGAACTAGACGTCAGAGCAAATCACTGCCCTATCAAAAGATTCACCCCCAACCGAAGAGTGGGGCCTGGGAGAGGCCTTGAGGGTCTGCACCATTAAATAGGCCTCACTTCTGCTCTGAAGTGATTGCTGCTCACTTGGAAGCCCTTCATAATCTAGTAGATCATATAGCAAGTTGGCTATCAACATTGCATTTACTTCCCCACAA